AACCAAATCCTGTCCCTTTTCCTGGGAAAACTGGTGCGTTCCCATGGGAGTTTCGTGCAGGTCAGGAGCTTTTGGGACAATTTCCTGTTGGGGGATGCTGGACCAGGTGGAGCAGTCACAGCCCCATCCCTGGCAGTGTCCACCTCGGATCCACCTGGGACAGTGGGAGGTGTCCCTGCCCATGGGATCGGATCTGGGTGGGCTTTGAGGTCCCTTCCCACCCAACCCATTCCACGATTCCATGACTGTGACACGGGCGCAAGCGTGCGAACGCCGGGGGTGGCTTAGATCTGGTTCCAGGAGCTCTGGCAGGGCTTGCAAACCGTGTTTGGAGTCAGTTTGGATTCACATTCCAGTGCTCCTGGCTTGGCTGGGAGGATTCCATCCAGATTCCACGCTGTCATCAGGCAGAACAAACTGTCCCTGCTCTCCTTCCCATCTGGAGGGGGATGCGGGGCCCAGCCATGGCCTGGTCTCCTCCTGCAGGGACCTTCCAGCCATCCTCACCCCCTGCTTGAGGTGAGGGGCCTGAAAATTTGTCTGTTTGGATAAAAAGAACATTTTTGAAGAGTTTGAGGTGGTGACGTTGCAAGGAGGGGGTGAAAGGGAAGTGGTTTTGAGGTAGAACTGGTGGTTGGATTTGATGATGTGAAAGGTCTTTTCCAGTTTAAATGATTCCATGGTTCCATGAAATGGGGGGAGAGTTCTTCTAGGGGAACCTGGGACAGTGCTGGGAGCTGGCTCCCAGTTTAATTCTTTCATTTCCAGCATTTCCTTCTCTTGAATTCTGCACTTCAGTTTGGATACAAGCTCATCTATGTGTATAAAACCAATTTTAGTACTTTTTAATACCTTTTTTCTGGCATTTTTTTCAAACCATCCTCCACTTCTCTATTTTCATAAAGCTGTGCCTGCACCTCTCCCTGCTCCTGCTCGAGGTGTTCCTGGAACCCCGGGAAGCTGCAGGTCCCCTGCCCTGAGCACATCTGCAGCTTCCTGATCATATCCCACTCCCACATCGCCGTGGTGAAAGCTCCTCTTAATTTTTCCCTCCTCGTTTTTTTTCCCTTTCCCTCCTCTCCTTTTCCTTCCCCCCCACCCCCCAGTGGATGTGCTGTCGAGTTTGATTTATGGCCTTGAAAGGGAGACTCCAGTTTAAAGAATTAATGGTATTTGCATATTTGATTTGGAAACTCCCCCAGCAGACCCGCGGCAGCCCCGCGCCGCCGACTCTTTTTTCCCTTTTTTTCCCTTTCCCCTCAGCCCGTTCAGATTTAGCAGCAGAGGTGAAAAGTTGAAGCAGTAAAACCAATAAAACCACATTTATGTGACAGATAAATCGTCTGGAGGCAGCTCTCCCTGAGCCTTCGGGTTTCCTCCTGCAGGACCTCTCCCCTCCGGAGCGCGACCCACAGCGGGGCTGGGAGCGCCGGCAGCCGGGGCCAAAGGTGCTGGCCCCGGCCGTCCGCGGACCTGCCCAGCCAAAAAAGATGGATGTGGGCAAAGAGTTGGAAAATACACAGCCCATCCGTCACTGTCGGGAGCCACCTGGGGGTGGTCTGGCTCTGCAAGAGCTCCGGCAAGGTCCAGGCCGAGGTGGGAGCACTGGGAGTCACGGAATCAATATGGTTGGAAAAGCGCTCAGAGATCGAGTCCAGCCTTTCCTCAGCACTGCCAAGGCCACTGCTGACCCATGTCCCCAAGTGGAGCCTTCAAATCCTTCCAGGGACAGGGTCTCCATCAGGTTGGACAGCCCTTTCCATGGGGAAGTTCCCCAATGTCCACCATGAGCTCCCCTGAGGCCGTTCCCTCTGCTCCTGTCCCTGTTCCCTGGAGCAGAGCCCGACAACCCCCTCCTGCCCTCCTGGCAGGAGCTGTGCAGAGCCACAAGGGCCCCCTGAGCCTCCTTTGCTCCAGGCTGAGCCCCTGCCCAGCTCCCTCAGGGATTGTGCAGCCCCTTCCCAGCTCCCTCAGGGATTGTGCAGCCCCTTGCCAGCTCCCTCAAGGATTCTCCAGCCCCTTCCCAGCTCTGTTCCCGCCCTGGACATGGTCCATCCCCTTAGGATCTCTCTTGTTGGGAGAGGCCCAGAACTGCCCCAGGATTTGAGGCTGTGGCCTCAGCAGTGCCAGAACAGGGGACAGGCATTGCCCTGATCCTGCTGCCACCCCAGTGCTGGCACAGCCCAGGTGCCCTTGGCCTTCTTGGCCACCTGGGCACACCTGGGCTCTTGTGGAGCTGCTGTTGATGGTTCCAGGTCACTGGAGTTTCTCTGGCAGTGGAAGCCATTCCCTGGCTCCTGTCCCTGCAGGCCTTGTCCCCAGTTTCTCTCCAGCTCTCCTGGAGCCCCATCAGACCCTGCAAGGGGCTCTGAGCTCTGCCTGGAGCCTTCCCTTCTCCAGGGGAACATTCCCAGCTCTGCCAGCCTGGCTCCAGAGCGGAGGAACTCCAGCCCTGCAGCAACTCCGTGTCCCTCTGAGCTCCTGCACTGCTCCCAAGCCTCTGCCAAAACAACTGCCAATATTTTAATTCCATCTTCTCCAAACCCATTCCTAATTCTCACTTTTTTTTTTGTTTCCTTTCTTCCTTCGTCCCTTTCCTCTTGGCTCTTTATTCCCCCTCCCCACGAACGGCTACCTGGCCCCTGGATGCTCCGGCCAGGCCGCGCACTTTCCATGGCAAGAAACTCGTTCAGGCTTTGTTTGGGATTTGCCTGAGGCACGTTCAGCCTCCCAGGGGCCACCAGCAAGAGGTCTTTGGCGCATTGTGGGGGTTCCCTTTGAGCCTCTATAACCATGCGACTCCTCCCAGCAGCCGCCAAGCCCCACGGAAGCATTTTGGCCCCGGCGCTCGGGCCTGAAAAGCGCCTGTGAAATCATATTTAAGGTTGTCTCTCTTGAAGGTGCCCCCTTGGAAAAACCTCCTGCCAATGATGTTCAGCTCGGGTTTGTAGTTCAACACAAAGGCCCCGCCGGACAAAGCCGAGCGGGACCCGGGCTGGAAAAGCCCTCTTAGGTCCCGGCTAATCCATCCCCCCCGCCAGCCCGGGGGATTGTTCCCGACAGCTTGTTTTCCTTGCCCTGACCTACATAGTCAAAAAGAATCTTGTTGCACATTTTTGTTTTGTATCTGGAGGTCTCGGAGGAGCTAAATCCCCTTCTTGGCGGGGCAAGATGCGTTGTTAAACAGCGCCGGGGCCTCCAGGAAAACCATGGCGACGTGGGGACAATGAGGCCTCTATGGGCCCCGCTTGGCCGCGGGACGGGCCCGGCCTCTCCCAGCCCCGGTGGTGGGCACCAGGACGCGCCGAGCGGGCGATGAAGACGTCCACGCGCTTGGCAGGCTGTCCCCAAATAGAGTGGTCACAGCGGCGCTCCAAGACGGGATCTCTGGAAGGGAGGAACAGCAGGAGCTCTTAATTAACCTGCTGTGGATGGGGCAGAGGTGGAGGCCGCATCCCGGGAATGCTGGGCCGTGCTGCTGCGGGTGGGTGGAGAAGGCGAGGTGAGGAGATCCACGTGTGGGGAGGGAAAGGGACAGCCTGGTTTTTAAGGAAAACAAGGGTGGGAGTGGTGTGGGAAGAGGGCATTGGACTGTGCCTTCATGGGTGGGTGGAAAGGCTAAATCCTCGTTGAGATGAGAACATCCACATGTGAGGAGGGCATGGCAGGTCCCAGTTTTTTAAGGAAAATAAGGATAGGATTGGTGTGGGAAGAGGGCATTGGACTGTGCCTTCATGGGTGGGTGGAGAAGCCAAGTCCTCATTGAGATGAGAACATCCACATGTGAGGAGGGCATGGTAGCTCCTGGTTTTTTAAGGAAAATAAGGATAGGATTGGTGTGGGAAGAGGGCATTTAGGGAACCTGGACTGTGCCTTCATGGGTAGGTGGAGAAGCAAAGTCCTCATCGAGGTGAGGAGATTCTCAGTTGAGGAGGGCATGGCAGCTCCTGGTTTTTTAAGGAAAATAAGGATAGGAACAGCGTGGGAAGAGGGCATTTAGGGAACTTGGGCATTTAGGGAACATCCCTGACCTGTGGGTGAGGGATGGATGTAGAAATGCTGGGGGATGGTTGGATTTGGTGACCTTGGAGTGCTCTTCCAGAGCCAGAATAGTTCTCTGATGCACAGCGAATTCTTGCCCTCACGGGTGGGTAGAGAAGCCAAGTCCTCATCGAGGTGAGGAGATCCTCATGTGAGGAGGCCATGGCAGCTCCTGGTTTTTTAAGGAAAACAAGGATGGGAACGAGGTGGGAGGAGGGCATTTGGGCAACCTGGGCTGTTGTTTGCCTGTCCCTCACCTGGCTGGGAGGAGTGGGGTCATTTGTGGACACAAAGGGCTGTGGGTGGGAATTTTGGCAGTCTGGAGCCGTCACGGATGGCCAAATTAATCCCTGTTCCTTCCCCCTCTGCCAAGGCCTGGTGGTTTCTCTTACCAATGTCTGGAAAGCACCTGGGACTCCCAGCTCTGGGAGCTGCACTCACCCAGAATAACCCCCCGAGCTCCTCTGGGCTTTGGAGACACCTCCAGAGCACTGGGAGGGTGTTGGGGTGGGCCCAGGGTGGTGAGAATTCCATGGGGAATGGTTAGAATGACACTGGGGGTTGTTTGGGGACAGAACTTTGTGGTGACTTTGACCCCAAAAGTGTCCTCCTGCCGTGGCTGAGAGTGTCAGGGCACTGGGGTTGTCACCCACGTCCTCAAGGTGCCTCAGACCTCAAATCCCCCTCAAATCCCAAAACTTAGGGATCACAGAGCAAGAATGCTCAATGGCTAAATTAATACAGCCCTACATTAATCAATGTTAAATATTCCTAAATTAACAATGAAGGACAATCAAGTTAATGATGAAACCTTCACAGAATAATATTAAACAAATTAATAAAACCCACATTCATTTTTTTATTGATAACTCCACCTGCCCAGGACCTCTGCCACCTTTGAGGGAAACACCTGCTGCCTCTTCCAGCTTTTTCAAACCCCGTTTGTTTTTCTTTTCCAGCTCCTGGATCTGTTCATCCAGTGGGATTGGTCGACATATCTGGCTGACTACGGACAGCCCACGTGCAAGTACCTTCGTGTGAACCCCACCACAGCCCTCATCCTCCTGGAAAAGTGAGTGTGACTCCCAAATCCCAGGAGAATTTCCACCCCCATCGTGCTTTAGCAGCTCTTTCCATCCCTGTGAGCAAAGATCTCGGCCCTGGGTGGACAAAGGGAGCTCAGGTGGAAAAATCCCATTTTATGCCATTGACCCGAATCCCACATTAACCAAATCCAATGGCTTGGCTACGGGTCCTTCTTTTTATTGGCTCTTAAGCAGTTTTTCTTGTCCTACCAGAAAATTTCACTTTAAAGATGAAACTACAGCACCAAAATCCTTTAAAATGTGCTGGGCTGCAGGCAAGAGTGGCTATCCAGAATTTTTCAGTGTTTGGGCAATGCCATGAACAACTTTTGGTCATGAAGTGGTTGGGCAGTTGGATCACGTTGATTCCCTTCCACCTGAGAATATTCTGTTTTATTCCATTCTGTTTCTGTATTTCTGCATTTCTATTTCTTTTTATTTCTATTTTCATTTCTATTTCTATATTTTGAATTTTATTTATGTATTTCTGTTTATATTTGTTTCTATTTAATTCTATATTTATTCCTATTTCTGTATTTTTATTTCCATTTATTTCCACAGTTTTATATTTATATTTCTATGTATTTATTTTAAAATTTATTTCAATTTCTATATTTATTTCTATTTCTGTATTCTTATTTCTACATTTCTGTATAACTTTATTTCTATATTTCTATATTTCTATATTTCTATACTTTTATTTCTTTTTATTTCTATAGTTCTATTTATTTCTCTTTTCATTTCTAGTTCTGTATTTTATTTCTATTTTATTTCTATTTCTATATTTTTTTTCTATCTATTTCTGCTTCTGTATTTTTATCTAAATTTCTATATTTCTGTATTTCTATATTTCTATATTTCTATATTTCTGTATTTTTATTTTTTTATTTCTATAGTTCCATTTATTTCTATTTTTATTTCTGTATTTTATTTCCTATTTATTCCTGCTTCTGTATTTTTATCTAAATTTCTCTATTTCCATACTTCCATATTTATATGTTTTTATATTTCAATTTATTTCGATTCCTCTATTTGTGTATCTATTTTTTTCTATTTCTACCCACCCCTACATTTTCATTTCCATTTCTTTCTATTCTAATTTATTCCCGTTTCCCCCACCTCCCTCCCGTGGGGTTCCCGGAGAGCCCCGATCCCGGTTCCGTGGGGCCGGAGGAGCCTCCGGGGCTCCCTCAATCCATCCTTTGAGGGCCGTCGTTCTCATGCTCCGCACGGCTCCATCCCAAACCCTGGAGCGGTGCCGGGAACAGCGCCCGGGGCTCTGGGGTGGCTCCTGGGGGGCTCTGCCAGTCCCGGGAGCGCTGCGGGATTTGCCTCAGGAAAAGCGGGATTTGCTTTGCCTGTCACCCCTGCCCGTGGTGGGTCTCCCAGATGATCTCCGCTGGTCCAGCTCCAAGCTGGCTTGGGTAGGATCCACTCTTCTCCTGCTCCCGGCAGACCTCCCAGGTCGTTTTCCAGCTGGTGGGACAGAGAACGAGCCAAAAAGTGGGAATTTAGCGTTTTCCGAGCGGCTCCTGGCACGGGCGCCGCAGTGCTGGGTCCTGCACGGAGGAGAGGGCAGGAGAGGATCCTCGTGGAACCATAGAATGGTTTGGGTGGGAAAGGGACCTTAAAACCCATCCTGTTCCATGGGCAGGACACTTCCCACTGTCCTAGGCTGCTCCAAGCCCTGTCCAGGTGGCCTTGGACACTTCCCAGGATCCTGGGGCCTTGAATGTTCTTCTGGAAATGTGGCCCCATCCCTAAACTTGTCACCTCCTCCTTGAGGAGAAGGAGAGACCCCAAATCACCTCAAACTGCCCCTCATGCTCTGATTCCATGGTTAATCCAACCCCAGCTGCATCCCTGGAAGTGCCCAAGGCTGGGTTGGGATGGGGTTGGACCACCCTGGGACAGTGGTGCCATGGGGGTGGCACTGGATTGGCTTTAAAGATCCCTTCCCACCCAAATTGGTTGGAAGAGATGGCCTCAACCATCCCTAAACTCATCACCTCCTCCTCGAGGACAAGGAGAGACCCCAAATGACCTCAAACTGCTCCCCATGCTCTGATTCCATGGTTAATCCAACCCCGGCTGCATCCCTGGAAGTGCCCAAGGCTGGGTTGGCTTGGAGCACCCTGGCACAGTGGTGGCATGGGGGTGGCACTGGATGGGCTTTAAAGATCCCTTCCCACCCAAATCATTCCCTGAATCTCTGATTCTGTGAGCGACCTTGGGGTGTTTGTGAACTTTGTGGCTCCCTCTGTGTCACCATGGTCCAGCTCCTCTCCACCAGAGGAGAAGGACGGATGTCACAGCACCCCAGGACACCCCGAGGGCACCAGTGAGGGACACAGGGACTAAACTGGACTTGAAGGACTTTTACACCTCGTGGCGTTGTTTTTAGACTGGTATTTTATGGGTTGTGTTATCCCTGGGTTATTTGGGGCCCTGGGTCAGGGATGGGTGTGGAAATGCTGGGGATGGTTTGATTTGGTGACCTTAGAGGGCTCCTCCGGCCGGGATAATTCTGTGATACACAGAGATTTCACAACCCAGTGTGCGAGATGGGAAAGTGGGAGGTTTATTCAGAGCTAGCAGCAAACTGCTAAAATAAAGGGACACCCAAAATCTGGGAGTTTGGCCCTGCAGCATCTGGGAGAGCTGGGGAATTGAGGCAGGCAGTGAGGTGGGATCATGGCAGAGGCTGGGAAGGTGGTGGAACTGCAGGAGAGCAGCTCTGCACTCAGTGGTGTTAAAATGTCACCAAACCCCAGCCTGGCTCATTTCATAAAGTCATAAAATCCTGGAATGGTTTGGGTTGGAAGGAACCTTAAGGATCATCCCATTCCCAACACATCCTTGGGCAGGGACACCTTTCATGAGACCAGGTGGATCCAACCTCAATGTTCAGCCTGGCCTTGGGCACTGCCAGGGATCCAGGGGCAGCCACAGCAAATCTGGCAATTCCAGCCCAGCCAGCAATTCCTTGCCAAGATCCCAGCCCAATCTGCCCTTTCCCAGTGGGAGCCATTCCCTGGCTCCTGTCCCTGCAGGCCTTGTCCCCAGTCCCTCTCCAGCTCTCCTGGAGTCCTTTCAGGCACTCTGAGGATTCCCTGGGTTTTTTCCCTTCTCCAGGGGAACATTCCCAGCTCCCCCAGAGCAGAGGGACTGCAGAATTCTGGAATGGGTTGTGTTGGAAGGAACCTTAAGGATCATCCCATTCTCTCTCCCATCCATGGCAGGGACACCTCCCACCATCCCAGACTGCTCCAAGCCCCAATGTCCATCCTGGCTTTGGACATTCCCAGGGATCCCCTCGGAGGGGTCTCTGTCCATCCTCCACCATCTCTCCCGAGGCTCCTCACTCCAGGCACATCCTCTGCCTCCCATCCTGCCAGGAATCCCGGGGGGAATTCTGAGCGGGGCCGGCTCAGCCTGTAACCTGTTCTCCTGGTTATCTGTGTCCCTTATCACCCCGGTGTCTGTGTCTCTCCCAGGATATCCCGGGTGTAAGTATGCGCTCGCTCGGGCTTTCACCCTCACCTGGCAGGGCCCCGATTGTCCGCTCTCAATGGAGCCCGAAACGCTGGAAATGCAAAGTGCCTCTGGAGCGGGGCCCTGCGCAACCCGATCCTCCCAAATGCACTAATTAGAGCTAAAAGAGGAGCTTTTACCGCGCTGCTTTCTTCCCCTCCCGGATTAATTGAGACAAAGCTCGGCTCTCTCCGAGGTGGTGTTTGTTGACAGGGGTGGGGACAGCGCCGAGCTCGCCTTTCCCTTCCTTTCACTCCTAATCCTGGGACCGGCTTCCAAACCCACGGTTATCCCGAGGCTCTGCTCGGAGAAATAAAACTGGGGAGCTGCACAGCCCATCCCAAATCCTGCAGGATTTTGTGTCCTGTAGGCAGCTTAATTAATTAATCATATTTAATTTTTCAGGGCTTGCACCTTCACGTGGAGTCTGGAGATTCCAGCAGCTCCCAGATGCTCCCAGACTTTTCCAGATCCACTTCTGTGGGTTTTGTTAATGGCACTCCCAGTTATCCCAGAGCTCTGCTCAGGAAAAAAATCTGTGGATCTGCACAGCCCATCCCAAATCCTGCAGGATTTTGTGTCCTGTAGGCAGCTTAATTAATTAATAATATTTAATGTTTCACTGCTTGCACCTTCACGTGGTGTCTGGAGATCCCAGATGCTCCCAGACTTTTCCAGACCCACCTCTGTGGGTTTTGTTAATGGCACTCTCAGTTATCCCAATGCTCTGCTTAGAGAAATAAAACAGGGAGCTGCACAGCCCAACCTGAATCCTGCAGGATTTTATGTCCTGTAAGCAACTTAATTAATTAATAATAGGTAATAGCTCAGTGCTTGCACCTTCACGTGGTGTCTGGAAATTCCAACAGCTCCCAGACTTTTCCAGATTCACCTCCTTGGTTTTGTTAATGGTGCTCCCAATTATTCCAAGGCTCTGCTTGGAGAAATAAAACTGGGAATCTCCACAGCCCATCCCAAATCCTGCAGGATTTTATGTCCTGTATCTTAATTAATTAATAGTAGTTAGTAGCTCAGTGCTTGCACCTTCATGGGGTGTTTGGAGATTCCAGCAGCTCCCAGATGCTCCCAGACTTTTCCATATCCACCTCTGTGGGTTTGTTGTGGGATCAATCCCTTTCCATCCTGATCCAGAGGTTTATCCATCCAGCTCCTTCCCAGTCATCCCAACACATCCCAAGGTTTTCTCACATGGAATGTGCATTGCTTCCAGAACATTCCATGGACCCCAGCAGGTCCCACGGGGTGGGAGATGGCCCCAAAGGTGCCAGGATGGAAAAGCTCCAAATTCCCAGTGTGTGGAAGGGCTGGGAAGAGCTTCCCAAAGATACAGATCAACTTCCAGCACCTCTGATATCCCTCTGGAACCCTGAGAGCTCCCAGCCTTCCTGGAGAAGGGCTTGGAGACCTCCTGGAGCTGTTTGGAGCTCCAGGGGAGGATAATTATCCCCAAATCCACGATAGCAGGACTGGGTGACTCCAAACTCCACTTCCCATTGGCACAATCACTCCCTGGTTCTCCTGGAGGAGAAGCTGCCAGCCTTCTGTGGCTGAGAAATAGGGAAAAACAAACTAATCCTGATTTTTTGATGACTGGAAGTGCTCCAAGCTCTCCTGTTCCTGTTGGGAGATCAGCTCCGTCTCTGGTAACCCCAGTAAATTCCCTTTGGGATAAAGCTGTTATCCTGGATCCCAGTTCCAAGCCTGGTGTTTTTGGGAACATTTCAGATTCCCTGTGGCTCTTTCGAAGAGATTGAAGCCCGGAAAACCTTGAATGATTGTTTGTGTTCCAGAAGTTTGGAGAGGTTGGGATTATGCTCAGTTGACTCCAGACCCTTGGGATGATCCAGTGCCAGCTTCCCAGGGATCATCAGCACCGTGTCCTTGTCACTTCAATGCTTCCTTTAGGTCCCCATTGCCAAAAACTGGGATTATGGGATGCATCCAAAGCCCTCAGCCTCTGCCAGATCTGATTTGCCCAGAAAATCTTTTACAAATTGGGATAATTTGGAAGAGCCGAGCCCCAGCAGGTTGGATTTTGGGAGGTTGTGCCTTCAGGAGCTGCTGGGAAGTTGATCCTGGCGGGATTTTTTTCCCTTCTCAGCACCCTTGGGAAATGTTCCAAGCCCTGTTCCCCCCAAAATACGGATTTGGGAATTCAGGAGTGCATGACCCCCTCCCAGCTTTGCCTCCATCCCACCTCCTGCTCTGCTGGGCTCTGGATTTATGGAGACCTCCTGGAGACACCATGCTCCTTCCAAACAGCTAGATTCCTTCCTGGAATGGGAATTATTCCGTGTTATATTTAATATAAATTATATACATTTATATAATTTATATTTTTTATTCATTGGGAAAAAATGGGATAGTGGCAACCCCCATGGCAGGGGGTTGGAAATGGATGGGATTTAAGGTCCCTTCCAACCCAAACATTCCGTGATTCCCTGGAATACTTTATAAAATTTAAATTCACAACTCCAGACCTTCCCAGTCTCCTCTAAAGCTGCATCTCGTGCACGCAAGTTTTAATTTAAAAATCTTAATTCTGTGGATTTCATGCTGATTTTCAAATCTCCTCCTCAAATTCCATCACCACCACAGAAGGTGACGTGGGGATGGAAAAATCCCTGCTTGGAAGAGGGATCCACATGCAGGATTCAGGATTTCCTGCATTTGGGAATTAGGGAGAGACCACAAAGGGGTGTTGATTGGGATTGGAGGGGTTTAAAACAAAAACACCTGAAAATTTAAAAAAAAAAATTGGTGTAGAGCTTGGAAATTTCATGTGCTCCTTTTAGACCACTGGATATTCCCAATCCCTGTTCCATAAACTGTTTGTTCTCCCTGCAGGATGTGGGACACCAGCAGGAAAAACAATGTTTTCACCCAATTCCAGAAAAAAAGAGTGGGAATTGGGGAGACCCTAAAGTGGCATTGATTGGGATGAAAAATGCCCCAAAAATTGGTCTAGAGGCTGGAAATTCCACGTGTTGCTCTCAGACCACTGGACATTCCCAATCTCTGTTCCATAAACTGTTTGTTCTCCCTGCAGGATGCGGGACGCCAGCAGGAAAAACAATGTTTTCACCCAATTCCAGAAAAAAAGAGTGGGAATTGGGGAGACCCTAAAGTGGCATTGATTGGGATGAAAAATGCCCCAAAAATTGGTGTAGAGGCTTGAAATTCCACGTGCTCATCCCTGAGAACTGGACATTCCCAATCCCCATTCCATAACCTGTTTGTGCTCCATGCAGGATGTGGGACACCAGCAGGAAAAATGTTTTCACCCAATTCCAGAAAAAAGAGCGGGAACTGGGGAGACTCCAAAGTGGTGTTGATTGGGATTGGAGGGATTTAAAGCATGAAAAATGCCCCAGAATTTGGTGTAGAGGCTTGAAATTCCACGTGCTCATCCCTGAGCACTGGACATTCCCAATCCCCGTTCCATAACCTGTTTGTGCTCCCTGCAGGATGCGGGACACCAGCAGGAAAAACAACGTTTTCGCCCAATTCCGGAAAAACGAGCGGGACAAGCAGAAGTTGATCGACACCGTGGCCAAGCAGCTGCGCGGCCTCATCAACAGCCACCACTCCTGAGGGGCTCGGGATCTCCTTCCCGCGGCCTGGACTTCGGGAATCTCGCTGGGAGAGAAGATTTGTATTTTTTTATTCGCCTGGAAAGTCTCCGCGGAGCCTCCCCCTCCGACGGCAAAACGCTCCCGGTGGAACAATCCTGGGAAAAAGAGGTGGTGGCAGGAGTCTCCTGGATAAACTCCTATTTTCAGGAGTTTAGGAAGTGATGGGAATTCTTGGAGCCTGGGAGAAGTTCGCACCCGGACTGGGTTTTTTGTTTTTGTCAAAGCCAAATTGAAGGGATCATCCTGCCTTCCTTTTGTTAATTTATTCCCTTGGAAAACTGAGAAATCTGGGAACAGCCATGGGTTCTCTGGGCAGAGGGAAGAGGGTCACCCTGAGTGTGTCCTGTGGTTTGGATTTAGGTAGGAAAAAGGGATTTCCTAGGGTTTTTTCCTCCTCTTTTCCCCCTCCACGGGCTGATTTCCACGTTAACCTGCAAATCCCTGGAATCGTGACCCTTTCCCACATATCCATAACCATCCCTTAGCTCCACTTCAGGACCTGCCAGGGGCTGTGGGATCATGGAGAAGGGCTTGGAGCAGCCTCCTTGATCAGATTTGGGAAGGGAGAGCAGAAGGGTAATCTGGGCATGTGTCCTGTGGCAGCGCTGCAGGGCTGGGATGCTGCTGGACACATCCATGGATAGGGAACGGGAAGGGGTGGATGCTCACAGGGATGAAGGGAAGGCACAGTGGGATCTCCCAGTGTCCAGGAGGGGTTTTTCCCTCTCTTTTCTGTGCTGGTGTCCCATCCTCCCTCTGCTCCTGATGGCTCCATGGGGAAAACTTCCCTGGGAAGTTTTAGAGCTGGACCAGTGAGAATCTCCTGGACACATCCATGGGTAGGGAACGGGAAGGGATGGATGCTCACAGGGATGAGGGGAAGGCACACTGGGATCTCCCGGTGTCCAGGAGGGGTTTTTCCCTCTGTTTTCCATGCTGGTGTCCCATCCTCCCTCTGCTCCTGATGGCTCCATGGGGAAAAGCTTCCCTCAGTCACCCTGGTTGGGCTGGACCAGTGGGAATCTCCTGGGCACATCCATGGATGGGGAGCAGGAAGGGATGGATGCTCCAGAGGGATAGAAGGAAGGCACACTGGGATCTCCCAGTGTCCAGGAGGGACAGATTCTCAGAGAGGGAAGGATTTTCCCTCTCTTTGCCATGCTGGTGTCCCATCCTCCCTCTGCTCCTGATGGCTCCATGGGGAAAACTTCCCTGGGAAGTTTTGGAGCTGGACCAGTGGGAATCTCCTGGAGCAGTGGGAGATTCCCCATGGAGCAGCGCTGCTCCAAAGTGCCTGTGGATAAAATTCCCCCTGTCCTCAAGGTCCCCAGAAATCCTCTGCTCAAACCAGGCGGCCACCAACAGGATTTAATTCCAGGATTCCACTTCCAGAGGGGGATTTTTGCCCTTCTCATCTTGCCTCTAGTTCCTCACATTATCCAGCCACATTCCCAAACCCCCAAAGGGAATTCCGATCTCCCTGGTGGTTGTTGCAGCCCTGAGCTGCTGCTCCTGTGCCCATTCCCAACCCTCTGGATGCACCAATCCAGAGGTTTTTCCTTCCCACCTTGCTCCTCAGCAATATTTTGGGGTTGGTTTTCACTTGGAGAAGGTTCCTTTGGCTCCATCCCAAAATTAAATGGGAACAGGGTCAGGAATGACCCCCTGGAGCTCCTGGGCTGTCCCAGCCATCTCCAGCTGCAGGGACCAAGGGATTGTTTTCATTAATAAGAGGAAAAGTTTGTAATTCCTTGGATTTGGAGAGGGATCGGGGGTTCCTTGTGAACTCCTCCTGGAGGGATATGGAAGAGGAATGACGGGAAAAGCAGCAGGTGAAGGAAAGTTGGAGTCAGCGTGGCCAGAAAGGGATCAGCTTTGGAGACACCTCTGGAAACAACCCGGAGGGACAAGGGATGGGAATTCCGGGAGTGGGATGGAGAGGGAGCAGAAACCCCGGGACACAGGAAAGGGGTTTTGTGCTGCCATCCTGAAATTCCATTTTCCACTCCTATATTGCCCTCCATGAGGTATTCCCACAAAAAATCCCCAGCAAAACCTAATTTCAGATGTTCCAGGCAGCTCCCACCCTTCTCAAATCCACGCTGGATCCCCTTCCCATCTCCCTGATTCCAGGAGCAGCCACCTGGGATGGGTTTCCTTACTCTTCCAGGGTTTTTTTTTTTTTTTGAGAAAACAGGATTGGGATCCTCCAAACCAGCTCCTGGCATTCGGGATTTGCTGCTGGGGAAGTCCAATGCGGCCAAGGGAGAGATTCTGGGAGTTCCTGATCTCGGGAGGTCAAGAGCCGGAACCGCAAGTCAGAGCCCGGGATGAAAAATGGGATTTTGGGACTCTGGTCCCAATTAACTTTTTGTTCTGAGACATGTTCCATCACTTCCAAGCAAAATTAATCTTTTAAACAGATTGCCCCCAAAAAAAGGCCCTGGAAGACATCCCAAATCCCCTCTCAGTCCCTTCCTAATGATGGGTGTCCTCCGGCACGGATGGAATTGCTTAGGAGGGAAAAGTCGCTGCAGGGAATTTAGAAGGGGGGTGGGAAACAGGGGCAGGACCCAAATCCAAGATTTCCAGATTCCCAGAATGAATTATGCTGCTCTCACACCTCGCTCCACATCCACTGAGCGTTCCTTAGTGGATTTTATTTTTTAAGGAAAGAAAATTGGATCATCCCATAATTTTTCCCATCTCCAGCAAATATATTCCAGCAGCAGTGGGGAAAAATTATATTAAAACTTAAATTTGGCTTCCCAAGAAGCTTCTTTCCTTCTTCAGGATTTGTCAGGCATTCCAGGAGCTGGGAATTATCCCATAAAATGTGTCCAAAGTGGGAATTTGCAGCTCAACCCATCCACGGGATGTTCTCCCTGAACCACCAGCACCTGGGAGGTGGGAAAGGAGGGGTTTTCCTGGGATTTTTGGGGTATTCCTGGGGCTGGAGTCAAAGCCAGATGCTCCCAGTGATTTTTGCACTTTGTTCCAGATCCAATCCCAGCTCCCGCTCGGATGGGGACGGGAGGAGTTGGGATGATGCTGTTTTGGGGTTGGTTTCTCCAGAATTGGCTGCTTTGGGGAAGGTGGAATTTCGGACAGGAGCTGTGGGAAGGGTCGTGGTGGCCCCAAATTCCTTGGAAGTCAGGCTGGGACAGAGCTGTGGCTGCTCTGGGAAATCTCTGCTGTCACGTCCATCGTGACAAAGTTTTGGGATCAAATTCCAACCAGAATCCAAATCCCAGGCAGAGATTCCAACCAGAACCCAAATCCCAGGCAGAGATTCCTCACCCTTGGGCGTCTCCTGCCTCCGCTGGGGTTTTCCCTTTATTTCTGGGTTGGGTTTGGTGCTTTTTGGGGCCTTGGAGGGGTTTGGAGCATCCAAACACCATCCCACACTCTGGTTGGGTTTGTGTCCCATCTTGGATCCCGCAGGATTTTTGGGATCTCTATCCTGTTTTTCCTACAGCTCCATGGGACTGGAGACCCCTCGTATTTCCCCCGGCACGATTCCATATTTATCCCACTGCTGGCAGCTCCAAGGGAAGACAAATCCCATAAATCCCATCCCAGGATGATCCCAGCTCTGCTGTCCACTGGGAACACCGTGGATCGGCGGGAAGCGACCAGAACATTCCAGGATTGGTTGGGATTCCCAAAAATTCCGAGATGGAGGGGAGGAGCTCATGGGGAGCTCGCTTCGCCCCAAAGCTGCTGCTCCAGCCCCTCTCTTGTCTCCAGGGCATGATTTGGAAAGCTTTTCCCGGAACTGGCATCCATCCCCACCTGCAGCTTCCCAAAAATTCCATGGGCAGCTCTGGAATCCTGTCCTATCCAAGCTGCTCCCTGCCTTGGGTCATCCCTTAGATTCCGTTTTGCCAGGAAAACCCCCCACACTCCCATCCCATCCCATCCCATCCCATCCCTGTCCGCCGGGGTTGCCTTTTCCCGTTGATTTTGGGGTCGAAGGACCTGATTTTGGGAACCGAGGTGGAGAAAACAGCTTTTTTTGCACAAGTCGTTGCACAATAAGGGGAAAATTTAGCAAATTAGGTTTAACTTTAAAGGGAATTTTGTTGTTGGTTTGTTTTTTGGTTTTCTTTAAAACTCGCTAGCAGAGCTACTGATTCCAAGAGGAAAAAGAGCTGGAATGGTTGGAGAGAAAGGACTGCATGGTTTACAGGTTCAATTCTGTTAGAAATTAGCATGTTGGACATTTATCCTGGTGTAATTCCAATTAAACAAATACAGCATTTAACTGTTTGATTAACGCCTCGTCTCGCTCTGTGCCTCCCTGGGAAAAACCTGATCCCTGAATCCCATAAAGGATAAAATTCCACATCCCCTTTGGACACCTGGCTGCTGCTGGAACACTCAGCTTTATGGGGGATCCAGGGACAAGAAAATCCCTGGATGAGCAGTGGATTCCACCCTCTTTCATTGCCCTTAGCAAAGACCAAGTTTTGCCCAAATTTTGCGGGATTTTAATTTGGTTTTAATTGGAACCAAAAAATTCCTCCCTGGGAAGGCAAGGAGGGGCTGGGCTGGAATTCCCAGATTTGCTGTGGCTGCCCCTGGACGCCTGGCAGTGTCCAAGGCCAGGCTGGACACTGGGGCTTGGATCCACCTGGGATAGTGGGAATTGTCCCTGCCTATGGAACTGGTTGGGATTTAAGGTCCCTTTTCCACCCAAACCACTCCAGGCTTCTGGAGATGGGGAAACTTCATGGAATGGCTCAAGCAGATGATGTGGGGTTTGTGTAGGATGAAGGCTTTAGGGAATATCCATGGGATGGCAAAGATTCCTGGATGGCTTGGATTCCATTAATTCCTCTAAATCCCTTCTTTCAGCCCTTTATCCCTGTTGGTTTCTGGCAGATCCTGGGATGGGGATTCCCAGTGGGAAGGAAAACATTCCCTGGAGTTTTTGGTGACTCCACCTCTGCCAGGGGCCTTTCCCCACAGTACAGGGAAAAGGGAATCTGGGAAAATCCTGGATTTAACCAGGATATTTCCCCACAGGAGAGGGGAAAAGGAGGGTGGGAATCTGGGAAAATCCTTCATTGAACCAGGATATTCCTGGGCATTTCCTGGTAATGGAAAAAAGGTGAAAATTCCGTCTCCTCCCACAGCAGGTCCAGGAAGGACCCAAAAATCCAGGAACCCCCCCAGTGCCTGGGATAAGGACCTTTGTGTCACCCCCATCCCATTTTCCTGGTGAATTTTGGGATGCTCCAGGTGGGAGATGGAGATGTGGGGATCGGATGTGTCCCAGTCCCAGCACTGTGGGACCTCAGTGGGAGATGGTGGGAAGGGATCTCAGATCATCCTGGATCTGTGGATCCCAGATCTTACTTGATCAGAGGATCCCAGGTCATCTTGGATTAATGGATCTCAGACTGTCCTTGATCAGTGGATCTTGGATCATCCAGGAACAGAGGATCCTGGACCTTCCTGGATCTATGGATCTCGGATCAGCATGGATCAATGGATCTCAGACCTTCCTGGATCTCACATCACAGTGGATCGATGGATCTCAGGTCTTCCTGGATCAATGGATCTTGGATAATCCTGGATCAGTGGATCTCAGACTGTCCTGGATCAGTGGATCTTGGATCATCCTGGATCAATGGATCTCAGACCTTCCTGGATCAATGGATCTTGGATAATCCCGGATCAGTGGATCTCAGACTGTCCTGGATGTGTGGATGCTGGATCATCCTGGATCAGGGAGTGCAGCACGGGTGGGTTTTGGGGCACGGGTTTGGGATGCTGCAGTGTCACCGATGTCACCCTGGGC